TTTGTGCCATTTAATATCATTTCTTCTATTTTTATCTATATATATTTTTTGTGTTGTTTAAATGTATTATATTCTTGAGTTTATTTATAAGGATTTTTTTTAGCTTTAATTTTTTTTAAATTTTAATTTAATTATCTAAAATATTAGTTTAGGAATAACGATGGTGGAGGGTATATAGCATAAGTGAAATAAATGAAATGTTAACTCTTTTAAAAATATATAAAAAAAAAAAAAAAAAAACAGAATGAAGGGTATTTATGAAATTTATGAGGTGGCATAAGAAAAAAAATATAATTTCATAAATGGCTCACATACTAAAGCCTAGAACTTTCATAGAGAAACTAGGCTTGGGCCGCTTGGCTGCTTTTTTCCATGGGCCTACAAAATATTTCTACTTTCTGAGGCCTGCAATACATGTAAGCACTTGGATTTTAATCCAAAGAATCTGATCCTTCTCAAACGAAATAAAACACCGGGCTCTGTGAGCCCAATGAGGTAGCAAAAAATTAAAAAAAAAATAATAATAATAATTGAACAAAGAGACCTGCTTATGTTTAATCAAATATCAAATTCCCTTTGATTTTAGAAATAACATAAATCCCCTTATTGTTAATGAGCTGTAAGAATTGATCATATGATGGGTTAATGAATATTAATTTAATTGTCCATTTACTGTTTATTTTAATACAAAATAGTTATCGGCAGAAAATTTTTTATTACTACTATTATGAGAGTTTATGCAATTTACTATGAATTAGCTAATTTTCATCCTTCTCATCAAAGTTTGCTTCATTATACGAATTTCACATCATTTTTGCTAATGATGAATTAAAGAGTTTATGCAATTTACTATGAATTAGCTAATTTTCATCCTTCTCATCAAAGTTTGCTTCATTATACGAATTTCACATCATTTTTGCTAATGATGAATTAATTTTTTTTTTTAAACCAGTTTGCGTGTACCTCAATTAGTCTCCAGGTCCCTTGAATGCTATACTCAAAAGCCTTCTTTTTAAAATTATACGAATTTCACATCATTTTTGCTAATGATAAGTTAATCTTTTTTTTGGTCAGCTTGTGGGTACTTTGACTAATCCCCAATGGCCTTAAAATTAATAACAAGGTAAACCCTCTAGTGACCACCCTTATTAGCATCGAAGAGGAATCGAACTCAAGACCTCTTGAGTAATACACTTAAGAGTCTTTTATCGCCTCACCCAATCACTTGAGGGTGGTTATGATGAATTAATCTTTAGTTAATCTTCATAGATTTGGTATCTTTTGGTTCCCTATCACAAACTCTCATCAGTACTTACAATGTGAAACTCAATGTTGCTTTGCTACCAGCCTACCACAAAATTTTCACGTTTAATTAACAAGTTGAAACCAAATTATATGATGTGTGGCCCAACTAAGATTCCAAAAGTTATCTCCTTCATTTTTTTTTAATTCAAATAGAAAAAAGTTGGTACAATGATTGATTAAACACTCTGTGAACTGAAAATTATAGAACCCAAGATCCATTTCGGTAGCCACATGTCAAATAAATATTGATGCCAGTTTAATTTTCTTCATATATTCTCTGGAATGATCCATGCCGGCCACCATTGGTCTTAGATACCAACAACACAGTGACAGGATTCACGGGCGCAACAAAAAGTCGCCAAACCAGCTCACGAGACTCCTTTCTTTGATTTTGCCATGCGGAACTCGCATCCCGACCAACATCATAATTTATCTTATTTTTGTACATTGGAGCTTGTAATTTTCTTTTTCCTTTTCCAATGAAAAATTCTTTAATTAGTTTTTGAAGCTTGTAATCTCCGCTTTGTCTATATACAATTAGATCCATTGAACGTTGTAGTTGTAAATCCAGTATTGGAAGTAGGGAGAGTATAGACCTTACTTTGTCGGGACATATGTCCATAATACGACTTCGGTTTTTGTTTTCTTTCCATTGCAGATCTGCAAATCAGATAGCATGTTATTAGGGTATATGTGATGTTTAAGTTGATGTAAGCTCATATAAAAATTTATTTTACAAGCTTGAGGTTTGTCTTTCTAATCATCTTGTTACGTTCTACAGAATTTTACAGAGAAGAAATATATTTTTTTGTATAATAGAGACATGTTCATGTGTTAGTTTATTAAAGTATTAAATTTCTATTACGAGTGATGTGATGTGAAGACACTAAAATGTCCGTGATACACCAATTATAACTCTTCAATAATGGAGATTTTCTTCTTCGGATGAAGCCAAAACATGAACTTCTTCTTGGTATTATATAAACACTTTAACTGTCTCTTGTACTTCAGCAATTCTCCACCAAGAACTTAAAAAAAAAAAAAATGAAACTCCAACTACTGCTTCTCTTCATTCTGTGTTTCATTCTCTCAGTTCAGTCATCTCCGACAACACAAACTCCCCATCCAAAACCACCCGACAACGCCACCATCTACAAAATCTCCAAGCAACTCTGCTGGGGCTGCATCGGCGAGGCTCTCCAGTTCCTGTTCGCCCACATTTAGTCAGAGCCGCCAAGTGGGAGCTCCCTCTGATGGGATTTCGAGCTCGAGAAGTACGCGAGGTGGTGGGCGGGCCAAAGAAAAACCGATTGCAAGCTGCAACACTCGTTCCCGGAAGCGATTTCAAGCTAGGCGAGAACATCTATTGGGGCAGCGGCGCAACGTGGACGCCCAGCGACGCCGTTTCTGCATGGGCTGCGGAAGAGAAATATTACACGTACGCCACCAACAGCTGCGAGGCGGGGCAAATGTGCGGGCATTATACGCAAATTGTGTGGAGTAACACGAGAAGAATTGGGTGTGCTCGTGTTGTTTGCGACGATGGGGATGTGTTTATGATTGTATTATGATCCGCCGGGGAATTATATTGGTGAGAGGCCGTATTGATTGTGGGTTAGGGAAGATTAATTTGATTATTGTAAAATTCTTAATTAGTGTCAAATTGAGTGTGGGTTAAGGTACACTAAAAATATAGTGTGGCTGTGGATTTAACTGTAGTCACAGTTAATTAATGTATGAATATGATTGTTTTTTGGTGTGGTTAGAGTCATATTACTCTTATATTGTTAGCCAACCATATAGAAGAAGATAAGGAAGTTTAGATAAATCTTTAATTTGCATGTATTCTTGATTATATATATATATATGTCTATCGTAAAGTTTTGACTAAAGTAAATAAAATGTGTTTTTATGATGCTTTATTAGAAAGTAAGTATTCACCACCCACCCCCGGCGCAAAGGAAAAAACAGATTTACCGAAGAAGAGGAGCTAAAAGAAAATCTATTAGAAAGACATTGAAACATTCCGATCACTTACCTAATAACAGAAGACAGTTCCAAATATGCCTAGCTTCCTACTAGTAACTCAACTACTATCAATCGTAAGTGATATTCTAAAGGCGGGAAAACGAAGGCTAGTTATCAAACATTCAACTAGGATCTAAGACCTATATTTAGCTAGTGATAAAAAGATACCAGGGAAAAGACAATATGATAACAAAAGATTATCTAATAGATAGATGCAAGGGGGAAGAAAAGAAGATAGAGTCACAACGATAGAATAATGAACTATGACAAACCGACTAAATAAAAGATAGATCTAACAGGCAAAAGGAAAACTACTATCCAAACTAGACTCACTCAGGGCTTTGATATTCCATTAGGAATTCATTATTTAATTTAATAGAGAATTCGGTATTAATTTAAACGGATTAAGTGTAGGAGTAATGCTGCATATACATATCATCTATTGGTAGTCCAGAGGTTAGAGTGAATGGGGATAGTATGGATAGATACATGTCAAATTCGATTCACCATCTAAGCATCTGCAACTTATGTGGGGGGTCGTGGCGGTGGGTTACTACAATAGTCTCTCATAATGATTAGTCGAGGTGCGCGTAAACTGATCCAAAAATTTTTACTACAAAAAAGTAAAAAATAAAAAAAATGCTACATATACAAACTATTTCCCACAAACGAATGTGACAACCTATATATTTGACATTTAATCTCCTTATTTGTTTAATTATTTTTATTTAAAATTACCAAATTATCTTAAAACACATAAATTGGTGTGAGAGTTTGTATAAAAAGTTTATATATTATCCTAAATGTAAAATGAATTAGTCACTGATCGGAGTAATGACAAAAGAGGGTAGATTGTTATTTCTGATATCCTTGAAGAAAATTTTTAATAAAGTCAACCTTAGCGGAAATTCCATTAAACTCTATCAATATTTTTTGTTAAGAATTTTTACTTAATTCATCTTCAAATTAATAAAAGAAAAAAGAAATCAAATGTAGCCAATACTAATTCTTTAAAAAAAAAAATTCATAAAAAATAATCATAATATGTTGCAAGTTCATAAGAAAATATCTTATTTTCTACAAAATCAAGTATTTACAAATCAAATTTTGATAGGGGATATTAAATTAGTTTTAGAATTATGAATAATTTAGAGGTCAAAAGGGTGTTGAGGTTATACTTTTGGCGGACGTATACCCCCAGCCAAAGTTTATTTCCAAGTTTCAGATTGCAAATGGGCATGAAACTGAAGCCTTACATTCAACAAATAATTTTGCAACGCTTGATTTTCTCTTCATTGCTGGAACCCATATAATATACTTGTCTGGAAAATGGCCCCATTTTATCTCTTTATCTCATTTTATCTTCTCCTCCTTTCTTTCCAGGTGTTTAATCGATCTCCATGATATGTAAAAGGAGCTGCCCTTGGGAACTGAGTTGATGATCATTCCATAACAAAAATTGTTTCACAATATTAACAAAAAATAAAAAAACATGAACCATCCTCCCATAAATGTAATTAAAAAAAAAAATTAAATTTATAAACATAGGAAAGAAAATGATAGCAGTTTAAGGATTATGAGGAGAAACATTCTGTTTAATGTGAACGAAAACTGTTCTTTATAATAAAAAACGAAAAACTTTATTTATTTTATTCTTTATTGCTCTTTGCGAGATCAGAATATTAACATAACAAAATCATACTTGAAAATAAGCAAACAAAGAAGTCGATCTCACAAAGCCATAAGCCATTTACATGACACAAACTATTCACCATTCTCTATTTTCAGAGAACAAAAAACAAGAATAAATAAAAAAAACACTTCCAAAATTTTCTGAAACATCTTCATCTTCATCTCCATCGTCCTCATAATAATTTAATAAGGCCTTTCTCCAATAAAATTACCAGGAGGATCATAGTTGCAAGTAATGAAAACGCCTTGATTATCCTCACACACCACTCTGGCACACCCAATTCTCCTCGTCCTACTCCAAATAATCTGCGTATAATGCCCACATTCACTTCCCCCCAAGCACGAATTCGACCAATAATCATACGAACTCTTCTCCGACAGCCATGCAGCCACCGCCTGCGCCGGAGTCCAATCCTCCCCGCTCCCCCAGAAAATATTCTCCCCGTACTGTCCATTCGAATGCTGCAACGCGCAATCGTACCTCCGCTGATTCGCATACCACTTTGCGTAGTTTTCCAGCTTATAATCCCACTGCAACGGGCGCATCCTCATGGCAGCGCGCGCGGCGTTGTGAGGAGCAAAAAATTGGTTCACCATGCACTTGTAGCCGCCGCTGTTTCGAGGCGTGAGACTGCTATAAGCTGAATAGGATTGGGAACTTGAGGTGATCAAAAGGAACACAAAAATAGAGGCTGAGACTGAGTTTGTGAATGAAGCCATTGTTGGGGAAGTAGGGCTTGCTGTGGAACAAGGTGGCATGAGTGTGATTTATATATTCAAGTGAATTGATAAAGGGAAGGGAGTTGGTGAAGTTGAGTTAGAGAGATGAATAAAGGTTTGAAAGAATGGGGTGGCACCCATGTTCGATAATGATTGCCACATTTGTTTATGTGGGGAACAAATTAAATTAAAGGCTGAGACTTTAGAGCTACAACTTTAACTACTTTCTTATATTTCATAATGGAGATAGCCTATTCTTTTTTATTTTTGATGAATCCACCGCTACCACAATCTAGGGAGAAACCGGTGGATGTATATGTATTGTTATTTTTATATTTAGAAATTTAAAAAAAATAAAAATTGGACAGTATCACAGGAATAAAAAGACAAAACTATATCATAAACATGTATATAATTATTAAATTAAATTCTTATGTGAATGAGCTCAATTTGATTCATCTTGTATGATATATGGGAAAGCTGGTGAATATGAATTATTCTTCTTTGTTTAATTTTTATTTTTCGAATTTAGAAATTTAAACCAAAGTGGTTTTAACGTAAACACTTCTTATAAGGATCTTACCGGTTAAGTTAGTACTTACAAGTTACAACCACCACGGTTGACCTGATAGTAAAAGAGTAAAGAATGATCTAACATGGTCTCCCAAGTTTGAGTCTCTTTGATGGTAAAAGAGCAAGAGAGAGATCTAAAATGGTCTCTCGAGTTTAAGTTCTCACCATCCCTAATAGAGGTAACCACTAGAGCTCTTACCCGATCGGTAGTTCTAGGGTTTCGAGTAATTAGTTAAGGTGTCTATAAGTTGGCCCGGACACCCTCGGTCATTAAAAAAAAAAAAATGTTAATACTTACAATAACATATACGAATTATTTTTTCTATGAATTTTATGATTTTGTAGGATATGAATTATTTTTTTTTTAATTTAAATATTGAAACCATACTAGCTAGATTAATTTTAAGATTTACTTTTACATACTTACTGCTTACATATGTTTTGGAAGAAAATAAGCATGAAATTTATTTTGGGTGGAAGCTATAAAATTTTGTGTGGAGATAGAAAATATGTTATTTCAATATTCTTTTCAATAATTAATTAATTAAGATTATAGAACAAAATAAAATAATTTGGGCTTGTTCATAGCTTTGGACTTGAATACTAAAAAGAAATCTAACTAAACTGAGATGAAATCTGAGTGCACCACGTTGTAGAAGATATGTTATTTAAATTAAAAAAAATAATAATAATACTGCTCCAACAACCTCTTCTCGTAAATTTTCTCTCACAATCATGACATGACAACTTACAATTGATCAATTCAGAATATGTCCTATATGGGGTCTTACATAGGTCTCACTAATTAATTATAAGTTGACCAATTATGAGTTGTCACGCCCAGAGTCGTGAGAAAAAATTTGCAAGAGAGAGTTGTTGGTGCAATATTATTAAAAAAAAAATATGTGGAATATTATAATAAATTAATACTTTGATACAGCTAGCATATTAAAACAGCTCTAATTCTGTTAGTACTATGCCGAATTAATTAATTAATTTAATCATTCTTCAAATGAATTAAAAAAATCTTTAATTAGTACTAACTAATCATCTGTCATTCTTCAAGTTTCCAGGGAATGTAGCAGTATCTATATCTTGATTAATTTTATTGTCAAATTAAATAAAAGTCAAAGTGAATAAAACGTTGCAATTTTTTGTGGGTTTTTTTTGTTTTGTTTTGTTTTTTTAATTTGATTAATTACTTGTACCATTTATAAAAGAGAATAGAGAGAAGTTACCACATTTTGATTAATTAGATCCTATTTAAAATGTGGTTCAGAATGTTTTTTGTAGAATACTTTTACTTTTAAATATAAATATTATTTATAAAAGAATTTAAAAAAAAAAATGTCTGAAAAAGTTTCAAAAAGTGTTCTTTGCAAGTCAAAAAGTGGTTTTTCAGAAGCATTTTAAACATTTTTGTTAATAAAATTTTATATTGTCTAAATAAATTAATAATTTAAGGCTGAAAAACTCTTTTAAATTCTTCTAACTAAATAAATAATTTTTTTTTCATAAAAAAAAAAAAAAAAAAAAACTCAATTTTGTAAAACCTAATACAAGAAACTTAAATTTCATAAGCTCTTTGAAGAAGTCTTGGTAAACAGAATGATTTTTTTTTTGTTTTTGTTTGAATATTTCATTGGAAATGAATCATAAGATAAAATAATTAAAGTGGGAATTGAAATAGAAGGCGTGCACTTAGATTTTATTAATTGTGCTTAAAATTTTGTAGCATGATGGCTGAAAAATATGTAGGCCGGCTAATAAATTGTCATTATTTTAGTCAAAGCCACATTAAGATAATAAGATTAATTAATTCCCCGTGGGTTGTTAGAAATGATAGTGTACAAATTTTGTTTTACAAGTCAAATTGAGAATTGAAAAGGCCTTTAATTGATTAATACCACCGAAATCTCGGATTCTCAATTAATTTTCACTGGCTAAATCAGTGGAGATCCTCAAATCTTAATCAACGGAGCCGCGTTTAGAAATTATGGTTTCTTTTTAAATCTTAAGTTCAAAGACAACATGGCTACAATTACAACATTAGTGGCTATATTTTATATATATAGTCAATCATTTGGGAACATTTTGACAATTTTATCGTATGATTTTATATATATATATATATAGTAAATGCTTCCTAACTTCACAAAAAATGCTAAAATCAAAATTGTTGTGCAGGAAATTTGGAATGGATAAATCCATTTTGGCATGTAAATATCTCGCGATATGGATTCTATGATTAAGGTTGAAGATCACAAAACTCTCCGTTTTATTATATTTTAGTTCATCTCCAACTCAACTATGTAATTAACACTATATAAATCCAGTTATAATATGTTTTTAAGGGATAGAGAAAATATGTTACAGAAAACCAATTGCAAACTTCTTGTAAATCAAATTATTGTGTCAACTTATTTAATAACATAACAGTGGATGTAGGTAAGCGGTCGAAGAACTTAGAAAAGTTTTTTTTGTTCTTTGTGTTTTAAGTTAATCCCTACACATTCATCATTCTATTGATCCACCGAGATCACACACAAGGGCGGATCCAGCCCACTTTTGGCCTACCCTCAATTTTTTTTCTTAAAATACTAATATATATAATTTTTGGATTTTGGTTCACCTTAACAAAAATATTAATATGTAATTAGTTTTTATTTTGGTCTACCCTAAAAAAAAAATTTGGATCCGCTACTGATCACACACACATCTTATATGGTTCTAATGCTGTCGGTCATGTCTGGTTGGTGCAAATTTTTGCATAGACAAAAATCATAATTAGCCATTAGCTTTTGTGTTGTATTTTAAAAACTTTAAAACGTTTGCATATGAGAATTTTTATATTAATTAATGTATAGTACAGACGTTCTGAAGTTTTTTTATGCAATCCAAAGCTTAGTGATAGATAACTAGGTTCACAAAATGAAAAAATATTAAAGTTAGTAACTAGTCAGCTAGCTTTTGATCCACATGCTTAAAAATAATTAATGTTTTAAAAGATATTTTAAAATGACAAAAATAACCATAACACCAATTCGGTTTATTTCATTATTCTTGATGAAAAGAGTGCAGTTATTGGTACTCGATCCAGGGACTAAAGAAACCCATTTCTTAAAACACCCCATTTTAAAGTTTTAAAATTAAAATTTTCTCTTATGATGCCCTATAAATTCCATAAATACTATTCGTTCCATTTTTTTAAATAATTTAAAAGAGTTAATATTTCATTATACACTCCTCCTAAAATAAAATATCCTCCTAAAATAAAATTTTAGATAACTAAATTGAAAGTTTTTATTAAAATTAAAGTTAAAAATATCTTTACAAATAATTTCAAAAACATAATACAGTTAAACAAGACAAAAAGTATATAGATTAAAATAGCTACCAATACTTTGAAAAAAAAAACCATTAATTTATATGTGAAGAAATTAAAAATCTTATTATTTCATATTACTTCTAACCTGATATATCTTATTACAGATCTTCTTCCTTCATTAAACTATCTTTTTGTCCAAAGAATAATTTGAATAGCATTAAAAAAAAAAAAAAATACGGTTTATAAGATAATAGTAGATGTCAAAAGTATTTGTAACAGAAAATTAAAGTTAAATTTAATAATTTAATATAGGGATAAAATTGTCATTATAAAGTATATTAAAAAGTGGGTTTCTTTATTTCATTAGTAGATTGCCAATAGATCCACTCTAATGAAAAAAGGTACCGAATTTGTTCTCTTAACATATTTAATATCCTATATTTATTTAATGCTAAACTATGTTAGAACACACAGTATTAGATAATTTAACATTTTAATAGATTGATTAGGATAAGGAAATATGATTTTATTAGGATTAGTTTTGAATTAGTTATTATCCTTTGGATTAGTCCGATTAGATATTATTATTTATAGGTTACATTTATCTCTTTTAATAATTATTATCTCCTATTTTTAAGTTTTATGACTCTTATTTAAAGGAGTAAAACAACAAAATTAGGAGACAGTTAAAATAATCTTGAAAATGCTATTTTGTCCTTGATAGCACTAGATTTAATAGTCTAGCACTTATAAAATAGGAAAATGTTTTAAGGATAGCACTAATAAAAAAAGAAAACGTTTTCGAGTTATTTTTGTCTTTGACAAAGGCCGTGAGTAATAAACTCATATGATTTAATTTATGATTATTATTTTTTTCTAAATAAAAGATATAATAACTTAAAAAAAAACTTTTTTTAAGGGTAAAATTGAAATCTAACCTTTTTTTTAATTAATTTTATAGATAAGACCCTTCGTCCAATTTCTTTTAATTTTTACCCTTTTCACTCTAATAGTTAGAAAGAACTACTCTGATGCAGTCCAGTCATCTCTAGCGATAGAGTCCAATAGAGTAAAAATTATTTTAATTTCTTATTTTAAGAAAATTAAAATAACTCATATATATTATCT